AGAATATCATGACGTGTTACTAGCGTCATGTGACTTCCGCTGTCGTAACAATATAATACAAATATGCACGCTAAAAAATCAATAATGACAGAGAGTTTTACTTTAAAAAATGATTGCCACTCACTTTCACTTTTTTCTCTACCCAACAAGACCACAACCAGGGCAAGAAACCATCGCTAAGATATCAAACCAGAAAGTGACCAACCTACCAAACTGTTCATCTTTCTTTTCTTGTTTTAGTCGAGATAACTCTACAACAACTTTATGTCAGTTTAAACCTAAATCCACTCTATATGTTTTTGGGCAGTGAACATGTCACTTCTTAGTTGTAATAACTAGTAGTAATTAAAAAAATCATAATTCCAGTGTAAACAAGGTTATCATTACCTCTTGAAGTTATCTTTTTGCAGAAACCTGGAGTCTTTTTTTTTTCTTCTTATAAAAGCCTAAGGACAAGGTGAAACAGTAATCACAGACCAATAATAGATAAATATTAGATGATTATAACATGCAGAATACTCAGTGCTTTGTACTCTATATAATTGGTGTCTTTAGGGAGCCAACCCTAAATCATATATGAAGAAGGAGTAAAAAGGTCAATACACATAATATTAAATCTTATTACACACACATTCATAGAATACACTAATTTTCAGTCATGTGAAAAAACGTCAAAAAACAAATAATAAGAAACATTTTGTGAATGTAAACTGATGTAGGGATGGCAGTGTAAAAACATTAAAACAAGAGTATAGGGATGATACAGCTATACATAGATCATCCCTAAATGACTTTCAATATTACTGCAGTTGGAAGTTACATATTGTTGGTATGCACTGTTTATCATAATATCATGTTCATGTCAGTGTAGGCATCAATGTAGTGTAACTAAGAGCCTAGGACTTATGTACAAGGAAAAACACGTTGAGTCTAAACATGCTTTGATTATTACAGACACTCGCTACGAGGTTGATGGAATTGATCGACCTTGTAACCATTTTGTACTCGTGGATTTTACAGTGTAACATTAAATTTTAATATTGGAAGCCATATAGGGATGATCTATGTATAGCTGTATCATCCCTATATTCTTGCTTGAAGTATTTTTGGCACTGCCATCCCTACATCATTTTACATTTACAAAATATTTTTATTACTTGTATTTAATATCAGCTAAATTTTCTATATGATATACATTCAGTAAAAATCCGGAATGATCAACGAACTCCACGAAGCGAAAGGAAGATCTACTAGATATTAATTAAATTATAAATATATCAATTCATGTGAAAATGACTGAAAAATTTAATTTTTTCTGAAAAGGTGGTGTCTATTTACTTGTGACCACGATGTGTACACACCATTCTCATAAAGTTTGATTAATTTTGTACTCTGCTGAAAATTATCAAAGTTATATGTAGATAAACAAAAAGGTTTCTGATTACACGGGAAACAAGAGTTTTATTTACGATATAATTAGAGCTCAATTTTTAACTTTCAGAGATTGAGTTCCTTAATCATGCATTTAAATGATATAGACAATAAAGTAAGTGAAAGATAAAAAAAATACTAGAAACTATTTTGAGGATGGAAGTACATCTTAATCTTGTTTTAAATAAGTTTTTATGTGCATACTATTGCGTATGTAATTATTTGTTTGTGTTTAGATATTCTTTCAAAGCTCCCCAAGGGCTATATGCACTAGCTTTCCATAATTTTGAAGTTATAGACCTATCAACAGCACCCACAGTTTACTCTTAGTCTAATCTGTACAGAGAGATTTGATCATCACCCTTATAATACATCCAGGGCCCCAACATCAAGAGCAAACATATGTTTTTATACTGCAAAATAACTAGAACAACAGACATACAGATCCATGGTCTGTTATCCCAACCACTGGGCCATGCTTGGCCCTATATATTTGACACATATAAAAATATGTGAATGTATGCTTTTAATTAAAAAACAAAACAAATGACTACTGATATATAAAAGCTTGTTGATCTCACTGAAAATTGTTTCAAATAATGTATTAGCACAATTTTCAAAAAATTAAGAAATAAATTATAATCAAATTCAAGTAACCTTGATTTCTGCTTTCAGATTTCTCTCAAAGTCCAATACTGTCTGAAGCTCTTGAGACCTCTGGAAGTGAAAATCTTGTAGCTTAGCTAGTTCTGCTTCCATCTGGAGTTGATAAGCTTCCTCTTTCTGCAACAACATTTCCATCTGAATCATTCTCTCTGCTGTTGTCATTGTTTGTTCCTTCTTACTGTGTAATTCTTCATCAAGTGTTTTCTTCTCTTGTTCCAAAATCTGAAGCCTACATAAATGTCAACAGCTCTTTTCCTTTAATGAAAATCTACTGATACAGAATATCCAAAACAATAATACTTACAACTCAAATCTTGTTATTTCTACGCGAAGTCAAAACTGTACTATTTGTAAAAAAGACAAGTTACATACAATATTGAAAAGATAATGCAACCTATCAACTGTAAGCTACAAATGAAAAACAAACATGCATTTACTCCAAAAAACTCACAATTCATATTGTAAAAAAATGTTTAGGTTACAAAGATTTCTTACAAGTGATGATAATAACTAGCATATAAAGATATGTGTGCTTTATAAATAGTAAACCTAACTAACTATAATGATTTAGCATTTAAAGTTGAGATAATCAATCTGCAAACATTACAGCCATAATCAACTAATGAATTCCATTTTCTACAGTAACAGTTTGAAGTAAAACTAAAAAATATCATTGTATACTACCTGTGCTCAAGGCTTTTGTCATACAAGTTATGTCAAAATAAAAATCTGGAAACACACCTTCAAAATTTAGAATATTTATTTCATAGTCGTCAGAAGTATACTAGGTCTTAATATTTGTAAATGTTTCTTAAGACTGAAAACATTTTTTTATGTAACTTTAAGGCATTAAACTGCCTCTAAATTTATTTCAAAAAGAAAACTGTGTAACTAAGAAATGAACTATTACACACTAATTAAGTTTAGAATGCTTCAGTTTTCTGCCAGTTATGAACATTAGCATGCTTATTCAATAATTCATTAAACGTAAACATTTCGATGTAATTACGATGGATGTTTTAATTTGTTTATTTCTAATATTTAAATATTATTTGAATTAATATTAACTTACAATATATATTTTTGTAGTTCATATCTTTAAACACATAATATCATCCTGTTTTTTGTGAATGAAGTTATTAATAAAGTAATCTAATTTTCCAGAGACAAGCTTTTCAATATACCAAATAAAAATAAATAATTTTTAGATTTAAAATATACATTGTTTGGTTTAGTTTTTATGTATACACCAAGCTATATATTTTTTCAATTCTAAACAAAATTTGAATTCCTTCATCTTTTCAGCTAAATGTAACATTTGGGTTTTCCTTTTCTCCACATCACATAACAAAAACCCATAGCATGACCAGTAAAAAGCTGCAGTTATGAGCACTTTCAGATTTCACCTGTCTGTATAGGTCAGTGACAAACAAAGAAAGAGCTTGAAGTGTCATGCATAAAAATTACAGAAAAATAAATTTAATAAAGCTTGTGATATATTTTTCATTCATGATGACTAGTTGTTCAAGTTAAATAGAAAAGAGAATGAAAAGTTGGATCACTCCATACAAAACCAACATTGATCAAATTTGAAACCAACAAATTCATTGCCAGATCCCCCTCCATCTAATTCTGATGAAATTTAGTGGTCTTGTAAGTCTGTTGAGAAACTAATCACAAAAGTTAGCTGCCTTTATTAGATTCAGAACTTGAATGTCATCAAAAAGTACCTATGCCTAGTCCAGTAGCCATCATTAAATAGATATAAAATTTTGTTCTAATTAACTTAGTTGAAATTAGTGTTCTTTTGAAACTTGCTATTTTGTTGTACTTTCAGATGATGTGCAGTTCAATGGGTATAATAAAAAATATAAGTGAAATATAAAATCAAGAAAAAAGTTTAACATGACATCCTCAAATTTTCCTGTGAGAAAAAAAAATCTAGGACTGTAATATGACCAGGAGATACAAACAACAATGTTGCAGCATGTGACCAAAAATTCTTCTGCATGTACAAGAAAATTCTGGATGCATCCAATTACTGGATTAATTTGTTATTTCGCGAGAAGTATTCAGGACTATCAGAAAAGTTGAAGAAGTAATCTCAAGTTGTCAGGTTTTAGCAAAATTTTTATAAATAATATTTAGGTAAATAATGGTCTTCTCAAAATTGTCTTAGTTCCTTGATTGTTACATGTTAACTTGTACTTGTCACTTCCAATCTTTTTGATTGGGATACAAGAAAGAAGGCTCTACCATAATGGTCCTGCACTTATCCAACACCAGACTGCCTGGGAAACAACATCCAGGCAGTGGTAAGATGGGTGAATGTAAGTCAGAGGGGTGAACAGTACTAGATGGGCCATCTGAAGTCCAAAACTAGGCAGCATCAGAAATTTATCATCTGCTCCATAGTTGGAGGAGGAATCATATCAACAGAACACCAATGCCCTACTCTCTACTAAGTGGAATTGGTTACACTCAGGAGGAAGCCTCTGTAGTCCACCACCTCAACAGGTAGGAACTGGCGAGTGGCAAGGACTCCCTTACTCCACATGCCACTTGATGGGATCCTTAAACGAAGAATAGGGCCTCTATAAAGGTGAGAGAAAGGTCAGAGCCAGTAAGGAGTATATAGAATGGTGATGGGAAGAATTTGGTATCCCAATGAAGAAGAGATGGCCAGATGATGAAGATAATGTGCAATGAAAGTATGCGGGGTAGTCCATACGCCAGCCTGCATGATCTCCTCCAATGGACCATGGAAGTGAGAAGCCAGAGAGAGAGAGAGTAAGGTGACAGATTTGATGAGAGGTGACCTGAAAGAGTTGACGTGAATCTACATCCAAAGAAGTATAGGCTAAACAGATTAGGTGCCATAGTCATCCTGTGAGAGTAGTGAGAGAAACATCTTGGGTACATGAAGAATTCCAAGGAATAAAGAGATGGGAGCATGAACTTCAAAAAGAAACAGTGTGGGCCAAATAAAATAAAATCACATGGATGAAACAGTGAAAACAATCAGGATCAGAAGAAGAATAAAGTAGAAAAGTGAATGGAAAAGAAACAGGAGTGAATGTGCTGTTCCCTTCATGAGCTACAATGACTTAGGGAGAAAAACATGATAACGAAGAGTACATGAATGATGGAAAAGAGTATGAGAAGCAACAATGGCATGCATATCAGATCTCTTATGGCCACAGGCAAAAAGAAGTACAAAATAGGTAAGGGTGTGGGGAACAGCATTCATTTCCTAATCAGGAAAGACTGCAGGATGGGGAGGATGAACAAGGTGAAAAGAACAAAAAAGCATAGAAACAATAGTTGAGGAGAAGACACGACACGGATCATCACTGAACTTATTAGAGGGTGCTGCCCTGTAGCCAGCAAGGGTCAAAAGTGATAAACCTTGGTCAAACAACCATGTAAAACATTCAGAAAGATGGGAGGACAGAAGACTGGAAAGGGGAAAAAGCATTATGCAGAGACCGACTATAGAATATGCACCATTTTCATTGATAGACTGGGGGGGAGAATGAAAAGAACGAGAAAGAAGGAAATCTACATGTGAAGAATCCAGAACATTTCGCAATGGACTGGGCAAAACTCACACATGAATACACAGTGACAATACCACTGGATGAGAAAAAGAGGAGTGTGGTTGAAGGAGTAAGGAGCTTGACAGGGGTAGAGGAAGAGGAGGAGAGAGCCAGAGAAGATTTCAATAGAGGAAACCACAGTTGAGTGGGTCTGTACAAAGCTATAAGGAGAACTCAACATAGAATGTCCTAAATTAGGAAGAAAACAAATAGGAAATTAGGCATAGAGAAGAAGTTTGGACCATTCCTGACTGAATGCATCAACAGCTAGAGCTGATGGATAAGGGACAGGGGAAAATGATCCAATATTTGATGTACCACCAAAAGTTCTAAGAGATTGATATGAAGGGATATCATGGGACCACCAACCTGAAATCTCTTGAGAGTTTAAATATGTCCGCCAATCCCATCAAGGACGAGTGGAAGGAAGAGGAGCACCTTCTGTGGTATTGGCTTTGTCGAGCCACCAGGAGAAGTTGACAAGCAAGGAAGAAGGAAGGTGAATGGTGGGAGACAAGGGATCCTGAGCAAGATTCCACTAATCATGCTGAGTCCATTGAAGATGATTCATATCAGCACAGCCCAAAGGAATAAGAGATTCCATGGAATCCCAAGTCCCAAAAATAGAGAGAACCTCCAACACAGTGTGAGTAGGAGAGGATATGGCATATGAAACTAATCACTCTATGTCTCTTAAACAAAGAGGAAAAGGCTGGGCCCTGCTGAGACATGAGTTGAAAAAACACATCCAAATGAATGAGATACTAAGTGGGTGTGTGATGCAACTTCTGCAGTTTGACCAACCAACACAGATGCATAGACTCTTGAAGGAGAAGAGTATGGTTGTAAGAGAATTGTTGGGATGGAGCCAAAAGAAGCCAGTCATCCATATAAGAGTGATTTACCTGATGATGACAAAAGCTTGTCGAAACATTGTACATTTGCTGTTATCTTAAACTTATATTAAAGTTTTTTTCATTACCCATTCAAGTAGTCTCAAACCATTATTAATACAAGTTTTAAGTTCTTAATTCTACAAGGCAATATTTAAAAAAATCCTGAATTTCAACTAGTGAGACCCATGTGACATTTTCTCATAGCATGTCATAATCCCTACTGTATCCACCACCACTTGAAAAATTAAAAAATTAAACGTAAAATACTCTGTATAAAATCATTATTGCTCAAACAAACCATTATTTTTATAGCCTTCTATTTCGTTTGGTTACAGAGCTATCGAATAGAAAATCACACCCCTCCTGCCACACTCACCCATCACATCCTCTCTTTCACAATTTGTTAATAGTTCTCTCTCACGTTTCATTATATATTACCTATAACCAATAGAAAATTAAGATTTTTCATCTATCAAATTACATATTGTATAACTTTGTATTTCAAACACATAAGTGTCAATTCCACTCACAGTACAAGATTCATTCCTATGGGAAAGTTAACAACTAGCTTGGATGAATTTGTAACGACTCTTGTCGCATACTTAGAGAGCCAAGAAAATTTTGCATGTTATTAGTCTATATTCTTTGGTGCATTATTTAATTAAATAAAAATCATTAAGCGCATTACTATCTATATTATAAAAAATTAAGGTTAACTCTCTTCAAAAACCCAA